TGAACCGAAAAACGATTTTAAAATAAAAAAAATTTGCCCGGAAGGGAAATCGAAAGATGCTGTAAGAGTAGTTAGTCTGTATCATCACATGAAGATTTTTTTCTCTCTTGTCAGAAGAAGAAGAAGAAGAAGAAGACATGGAGGATTCGAAAAAAAAATGGTTCGCAATGGATTTTCGTTCCCCTTACCACGTGACTCCGGCATTTAATACATTTTGTTTTTTTACATATGAATTCATTTTTAAAAAACGTAACATAACATGATTATGTTATTATAAATAAATCCATAGGCGTTCTACATCAATTTACGTTCAAGTACGTTTTCCCTCACAGACGTTCCTTCATCTCGTAATAATAATAATAATAATACCAACTGTTTAGATTTTTGCTCTTCGTCCAGTGAACATTTTTTTTTTTTTTTCTCCAAAGTCTTCTTCACCTGGAATTTTCTTTTGTGTGTGTTTGTATCATCATCATCTTCCGATTTTAACATCTTTTTTTTTCCTTCTTCTCACCGCATGCATTTTTCCCCTCTCACGACGATGATAATAATAATACTAATAATAATGATTATGCTAATTTTTTTTTTCTCAACGAAACTGGAATCTGTCGTTTTCGTTTTTCTATTTTATAAAAACGATCGAATTTTTTCCCATTATAAAATCTTCTCCAGGATGATCCAGAAAGATGGATGGATGGATGGAAATATTAACCAGAAGGAAAAATCCACTTCAAAGTAAAAAAAAAAAAAAAAAATATTCCAGACGAATCGAATTATTTTTATAAAAATTAATAATTTTTCTGGCGTCGTACGTATCAATAATCCTCTTTTCTTTTGACGTTTCCTAAAATACTATTCAAACAGCAGCAACAGCAACAGCAGAAGGAATTTAAAATCCCCGAACTAGATAATAATAATAATAAAAACATTTTAAAAAAATAACACAATCACTATCACCACCACCATCATCATCATTTTCATTTCAATTTTTTATTTTTAACAAACTAAATGTAAACCTGGAACGAATTCTGGAAAAAAAACAAAGAGGAAAAATTCCAAAGAGTTTAAAGAACCAAGGTAAAAGTGAAAATAATAACAATAATGATAATAATAATAATAATAATAATAATTCACTTTCGTGTGCAAATCGTTATATAATTAAAATTGGAAAAGAATAATAATAATAAAAAAAAATTCTTTTATTTCCAGTGCGCGGCATTTAAACAAAAAAAAAAAAAAAGTAAAAACAATTATTATCATCATCATCATCTCCAACGCAATTCGCAAGAGGCGGAGGCGGAGGAGGAGGAGGGGGAGAGGGGGCGGAGAAAAAAAGAGAAGAATAAGAAATGGCAAAAGAGAATGTTTTTAATAATTCTCCAGCGATTCGTCATGGAATTAATTGTTAATAAGTCCTTATTTGAAATGTTTTAAAGCCGGCCAATTAAAAGTTATTTAAAAAAAAAAGAAAAAAAAAAAAGTTAATTAAAAATTACTTTGGTTGTTAAGTAGTACCATCCGTAAATGTTACAACAACAACACAACAACAACAAACACAACAAACACAATCGTAATTAATCGTAATAAATAATTAAATTGAAAAATCACTTTTTTTCTTTATGCAACAATTTTTTTTTCTTTTCTCTTTATAAATCCCCGTGAAATTTGTTTTTTTTCCAGAAAATTTTTTTTTTCCTTTTTAAACCAGGTTTACACGTGACCACGATGATGATGATGATGATGATGATAATAATAATAATAATATCGCATTTCTCTCCCGTAAACTTTGATTAAAAAATCATTTTCTTTCCTTTTCCATCCTTCCTTCCTTCCTTTTCCTTTTCATTTCTTCTTTCGTGATTCTCCAGAAAAAAAATCCAGACTAATTAATTAATTTTCAATCGAATATATATATATTTTTATATAAATAAATAATCTTGTAAAAAAAAAAAATTAATAATAATAATAATAATGATAAAATAAATATAACATAAAAACCTTAATAAATTCTTTTTCTTTTTCTTTCTTCAATCTTTTCTTTTTTCCCCTCTTTCTCTCTCTTTCTCTCTCTCTATTTTTTGTTCTTCTTCTTCTTTTCGAAAAAAATTCTAATCGATCAATTTTTCGATTTCTTCTATCCTGTATCTGAACCTTCCGTAATCGTCTCTGGACTGCATGGCCGAATGGAAAACGGATTTTAAACTTTTTTCTCTCAACTGCTCTCGAACTTTTTCTGAAAAAAAAAATAAATAAATAAATAATTAAAATCTTTTGTTACGGTTCGGTTCGCAGCAGACGACGACTTAAAAACTACGAGAAACAAATGAATGAATGAATGAATGAATGAATGAATGGGAAAAAAAAACAAATAAATGTAAAAATAATAATGATATCATAATAATAAGGGAAAAGGGACGAAAAATAAAAATAAAAAAAATTCTCATTCGGCGAAAGTTTATAATAAACCGTGTGGAGAGAGAAAGAGAGAGGAGAGAGTATGTCCTCTCCCTATCTCTCTTTCTCTCTCTCTCGATAAAAAAAGGAATCAAAAGACAAGAAACCATCCACCATCGCGCTCCTCTTGTACTTTAAAAAAAAAAAAAAAAAAAAAAAAACTTTTTAATTTCAAATGAAAATGAAAATGGATTTGAATTACGGGCTTAATTAAATTTTCATAATAAATCCATTATATTGAACTTTAAAAAAAACGATTTCGTAATCATTATTATTATTATTATTATTATTCTACCAACAAACGAAACATTCCACACAAAAAATAATAATAATAATAATAATAATAATAAAAGCCAACGGCCATAGCGTGCTGGTCACACCGGTTCCCGTACGATCACCGAAGTTAAGCAGCATCGGGCGTGGTGCAAACTTGGATGGGTGACCGTTTGAGAACGCCACGTGCTGTTGGCTTAAAAAGAGCAAAAAAAAAATGAGAACAAGACAAAGTAAGAACCAAAAACAAAATCTTGTTCTACTGTCGACCTGAGGCAGCTCGACGAGAACGTGAATTTCACTGCTTCTGACCCTGGCCACTCCAAAGATGTTAGTCACCGGAGCCCAGTTCAGGAGACAAATCGTTCCCATCGAAAAAGACGGACTCAGGAAGACCTTCAAGAATTGATGTGGTGCTATCTTATAATAAGTGGCACCACTCGAAATTCGAGTATTTGTCCCTAAGGAATCGGGTAGAAACCTCGGATAAATACTTAAAAACTCCGACAAGTAGCCTTGTCGTGTTTAATGGTGAATAATAATAATAATAAAAGAGGAGCAATCAAATGATCGTAATGTGGGCGCCAGAAAATAACAACAAACAAAACCCGTCAAAAATTCCTTTTTTTTTTTTTTTTTTTTTTTAATTCTCCAGGATGAGAGAGAAAGACGAGGGAATACATGAACGATACATCGATCAATAATTATTATTATTATCATTATTATTATTATTATTATTATTAATTTCAATTTGAAGAAATTCGAACGGGTTATTTTTACAACAGCTGCTGACATACCATCCGTTCGTACGTTTTTTGCATTTTTTTCCGATTCATTAACCCCGTCATTCTCATCATTCTTAAATCCCACGCAAATATTTAACAAAAATAAAAATTCAATTAATAAATTCCAGTTTCGAATGTCGTCATAGTCGTCATCATCATCATCATCATCACCTGGAGAGGAACGAGAAAGAGAGAGAGAGCGGTGAATTCGTTTACAAACGACCAAATGCCTTCCTACATTTTTTTTTTTTCCTAACAACTTCTTTTTTATTTTTTTTCGTCGGTGTTTCGAAATTTTCGAGAGAGAGAGAGAGAGAGAGAGAAACTCTCCGTTTCCTCGTGCCATTCATTTCACGATTTATGATGACACCACCATCATCATCATCATCATCATCATCAACGTTTCCAATCACCTCCCTGACGAGAATGACAACGACGACTTATTACGCATTCCAACACTCCCCTTTTCCTTTATTAATTTTTCTATTACGAATCGATTGATCGATCTATCGATTCGCGGAAAAAATATTATCACGATCCTACAACGTCCGCATAATTCTATTGAAACAATTAAAAATTAATAATAACGAAAAAACCGATCGACCTGATTTGTTTTTTTTTCGTTATTTCGACGTGGCATATGCCAAAACGTACAAAATTGAAAAGAAAATAATAATAATAATAATAATAATAATAATAATAATAATAATAATAATAATAATAATAATAATTATAATAATTTTTTTTCTTTATTACTTTATCGTTTACGTAATAAAATTTTTATTTTCGTATAACAACGGTAATGCCCCCCCGAACACAAAAAAAAAAAAAAAAAAATAGATTCGCGGTTTGCCCTATGATCCAGCCTACAAACAACAACAACAACAACAAACCGAACGATAAATTTTAAATACTTCGAAACAAAAACAAACGATTCGCACAAATTCAAAAAAAAAAAAAAATTATAGCAAAGATTACGACGACGACGACCACGATGATGATGATGATATTAAGTAAAATAAAAACAATTTCATCGGAAAACACATTATTCGTTTTGAAAAAATAATAATAATAATAACAATAATAATAATGATAATAATAATAATAATGATAATAATAATAGTAATAATTTAAGAATTGTGAATTGTTTTTTTTTATCGAACGATTTTTTGCAATTTCTCAAAATGGCACCTTATGTAATTGTCTATTTATTTTATTATTTGTTTGTTTGTTTAACGATTATTATTTTATAAAAACTATCAGAAACAACAACAATAACAAAAGCAAACGGTGTTGTTTCGTAAGAAAAATAAAGAAACGAATAAAATGTTATATATATATATATATATATATATATATTTTCTCTCTCTCTCTCTTCAACTGAGAATGAATGTATCATTTTCGATTTCTCGTCTCCTCTTACAAACAAACGTCGAACTTTTATCGTTTGTCTTGTTCGTATTTAATTCACAAAGTAAATTAATTACTTTATACATGTCCCGAAAAATTTTTGAAATTTATCGAATCACCCTCTCGAAGAATTAAACAAACAAACAAACAAACAAACGGGATTGGGTGTCAATTAAGAGATGGCAAAACAACATGCGTGGAAGAGAAAGAAGGTGCGAGGTGGAAAGAGAGAGAAAAAAAAAAGGTTAAAAAATTAAACATCAGAAACTCACCGAATTTCGTCACGATTTCCAAAAAGGTAAATATGTTTTCCAATATTCTTTCGTCCATTTTGACTCCGTGTTGCATTATTAAATGTTTTAATTTTTCACCAATGTTTCCTCTCACTAACAAATGCTCGAAATCGGAAAATTTTGCATTTTTTAAATTTTCTTCACCTTCTTCTAATTGTTCGTTTATCGTTTTTTCATCCTCGGGATTTTCATCGGAATCCGTCGTCGTATTTTCCTTTTCCTTTTCTTTTTCGCTTTTGTTTTTGTTTTCTAATTCTAATAAAACCACAGCCGAAGTTATGGTGAGTGCAGAAATGGCTTCGCTTTGCATGAGACCGTGTAATGCGCCCAAAAGTTTTATTATGTGTGTGTAACCGCCGTTTCTTAAAACGTTCAATATAACCTCTCGATCCCTTTAACAAAAAAAAAAAAAAAAATTAATTAACAATAATAATAATAATAACAAATTCGCAATAAAAATTTTCGTAGTGATTACTTTGATATTTTGACGAGCCAACAAAGACATCTGGAACATTCGGATGACACCCAAGGGTGAATCGTCAAAGAACCCCAATCTGCTAATTTGCTAACTAATTTTTCGTCGCTCCCCAATTCCACAGCAAGCAATTCTTGTCCGTCTATCACTTGTCTCAGAGTTCCAACAAATTTAAAAATTACAGCAGATGACGTTTTCACATCCAAATCCATGAGCGGTAAAAGAATTTCAATCAAACCATCTTTAACCAATTGTATTTTATTCGTTTTAGGTATGGACAAATTTCTAAAAAAAAAAAAAAATTATTATTTATTTACGACAAAATTGGAATGTCTGGAGTTTTTATCATTCGATATCGATAATAATAATAACAACCTAATAGTGCTTATTACGGCATATTGCATTTTAACATCGTTTGATTTATCTTTTAGAATGTCCATTAATAACTTATGATAATCTTTGTTCACAATGCTAATACTGTGTTTGTCAGTGCGTGCTATGTTCCCGATACAAAGAACGGCCGTATGTACGAGTTCTTTATCCGATGATTTTAACCATTCAGTTAAATGGCCCATCACACCCACTTCTTTTTCATATATATATTCCATTGCTTCATCTACAACAAAATAATAATAATAATAATAAAGAAATCATTAAAAAGTTTATAAATCTCTTATTAAATTTCATTAAAGACAAAAAATTATTTTTAATAATTTATAATTATTTTAAATGATATTTTACGCAAGCTAAAAAAAAAAAAAAAATGTAATAACACATACAAAGACTAACTAATAATTAGTATTTAATTTAATTTAATAACTTATTTATTTAAGTAGTAAAAAAGGGTCAAATAAATTTGTTCATTATGTGTTTTATTTCATTTTATAATTTTGAAACAATGCGACTTGCTTTTATATCGGTTTGAGTCGAGTTTAAGTCGATTTAAAATGTTACTTACCTCCTGTTAATATATTCGCTAAAACCCTTCCAGTTAATTCGTATTTATTCGTTTCATCTTCTGTTAATGTTTCCGGTTTGTTTTCAAGAATTTGAATAAATAATTGAAATATTCCAGATTTAGCTAAGTTAAATTTTACAGGATCTGGCACTGAAATGAATATTATTAAAATTAATAGATTAACATCACAAAAATAATTTTTAAAATATTATTCGATTTTGTTTTATAGTTTTCGTTAAGGTTTTCGAAAAATTCAATGTTAAATATAATTGATGTATTTTATTTAATTTGATATGGAAAAAATGTTACTTACATTCAGCATCTTCGAGAAATTCCAATCCAGTAACACAAAAATCATCATTATAGTATAATCGAAACATTTCCACAGCTAGTCCACAAATTTCTTCAGTAAATACAGATTCAGCTGGAATTGTTTCAGCCATTGAAACTAATATAATAAATATTGTTTGTGATACTCCTGTCCCCAAATTATTTTCCAGGTCATACTTGATGAGATTTGCGAATGTAATTAATAAATTTTCACTAAATATCTATAACGAAAAATTTTTTTCTCATTGAAAATTCATTAAACAGATAAAATAAAACATAGTTTAAAATATTTTTTTTAAATGAACAAACCTGATTGTGAATTTTCTCATTGTCTGCTACCAAATTTAACAAAAATCCAATTAGATTTACTTTTAATTTTGGAGTATTTTCTACTGAATTCGGGAGACAACATCTATCTAACAGAGAACGAATTTCTTTTACTACTCCCTGGTTTGCGAGTAAATTTTGAGCCTCACCTAAAAAAACAATAAAAAATAAAAGTTTTAATTCAAAGTAAATTGTAGTAAATACATGAATTCAGAATAAATTTGATAATAGATAAAAAAATTTGACTGACTTTTTTCAAAACAAATATTTCCTAAAGCTCTGCATGTATGAATCAAGACATCGAGAACAGAACTTTGTAAATGTCTCAATAATAGGGAAACCAAAATTTGATTGCATAAGAAATCTCTGCAACAATCGTATTTTCCAAGTTCTGCAACAAGATTTGCTGCATTGGCTATTTTAATACTGCTTGTAGACTGTAAGCTATCACACAAAACAGTCATCAAATCAGGGGTTAAAAAATGAGTTTTACATTCATATCTTTTTAAATTTTCGCAGCAAATTTTTTCTAATAAATTCTGATAGAAGACTGTATTTTTTCCACCCTTACTTAAATCAACTTGATTTAAGTGAGCAATCAATTGTTCGATTGGATTTTCAGACATTTTAACGAAAAATTAAAACTAAAAAAAGAAAAAAAAATCACATTAAATACAAAGCTAACATTTATTTAAATTAAACATAATAATAATAATAATAATTACTGCGTTTGGAAAATAAAGAAAATTGACGTACATTGGTGGGGTATTAGAATGACATTTTTTAACATGAGTTGTTATGTAGTCAAAAAAAACTCAAACATAATTAAATTAAGGTATACTTTAATGATAATATAAAATATTAATTTTAATACCTAAGAAAGAAAAAAACTTAAAAAAAAAAAAGAAAAAAAGAAAAGTTATTTACGGCCAATTTTAAAAAAATTGAAAAATGACATTTCGGTATTTAATGGGGAACCACGTTTGAAATTAATTTGTCATCGAGCAGACGGTGAATTGCAGTGGTGCCAACTTATTTTATTCCTATTAAAATTCGTTACCTTTATTATCTACTTTAAGAGTTTTTTCTTATTGAAAATAATTGAAACGAATTAAAAAAGAACGTTAAAAATGAAAAACAGAAGAAACTGTAAACCGCGACAGAAGGAAAATTGAAAACATAAAGTTAAAAACTTCTAAAAGTTCTCATTTTATCAGGGGGGGGGGAAAAGCAAACATATTCAGCTAAAGTGAATAAGTTAATATTTAACATAACATAAAAGAAATAATAACATGGCATCATCTTACACGAATGAAAAATAACTTTTCTACAAGTTTAAAAACGTTAAAAAATATCAATTAAATATTAATTATTACACTTTTTAAACTTTTATCACCCACGAAAATTTCCATGGAATCGTTAATAAGAAGACGCGAGCCATTTTTAATTTCTACTAGTTAATTTCAAAAGTTGGCGACAAGAGTTTTGTAATTCGAATTCAAATTTGAAAAAAAAAAACGGTAAAATGTATTCTTTCATTTCAAACGATAAATTTCAAATAATTTCAATTATTAAAATAATTAATTAATAACTCGTTAATAATAATAATAATGATTTTGTTATAGTAATAAATACCGTCGATAATTCAAAAGGTAATAATAATAATTACAATTCATATAATTCATTTTATTTTTTTTGAAAAAAAATTTTATCTATCGTTCGTTTTTTTTGGCGGAAGTTTTTTTTTTTTTTTATATAAAAATTTATATTATTAATCTCAAAACGAATTATTTAATATATTACGTGTTATTTAACATAAAAAATATATCTTTTACAGATACCTGACGTTATGATTAAATAAAAAATTGTTTTCATTTTAACTTTCTTAAGATTAAATGAAAAATAAGGAGATCAAAGAAAGTATAATCGATGATGATGATGATGATGATGGATGCAAATTTGCATTAAATTAATTAATAATAATTAATTTTCGAATAAATTCAATCGATAAGAATACTTTTTATCCTTAATAATTAATCTTATAATGATGGCAAGGAAGGTACGTAGGTACGTACGAAGAAAGTTAACGACCTACATTATTATTATTATTACATCACAATTATTATTATTATTATTATTATCTAAAACATTTGATTGTGGTTAGTTCAAACGGTCAAATTTAAAATTTAATGACGTACCTACTAAAATTTATATAAAATTATTATTATTATTTTTTTAATTAAAATAATTTTTTTCTTTTTTGAGTCAATTTTGAAAAAATAAAAGGAAATTACCGAAATCTAAGACATTCTTATTTGTTCTAGAATGTGATTAAGTGCTTCTGCTGCTGTTGCTGCTGTTGTTAATGCTGTCGTGAAAAACATTTAAATTTTATTTATTTTCAAAATGGACAAGAAAATGAATGTGAAAATATTAAAACTCAGGTGTTAAAGTTTACACTAAAAAATTTTTTTTAATTAATTTATTATTGTTATTATTATTATTATTATTATTATTATTATTATTATTTAATTAAGTAACGTCACGGTAAATTTATTAATAATAATAATAATAATATAACATGGTAGTTTTGTAATTTCCTCGTTTTCAATTTCAGGTTGAAATGGAGGAGGAAGAATGGGGAGGAAAAAAAAAGGAGTGGAAAAATTATGAGATGATATTAAATCGTTAAGGGTGATAATAATGATAATAATAATAAAAAGGAAATGAATTCGATGAAAGGAAAGAAAAAAGAAAATTTCAAGAAAAAATTAACGCGATTAAAAACTTTCAATTTAAAAAAAAAAAAAAAATTGAAATTAAATTAAAAAGAAAAGAAAAGAAAATTGATAAAAATGAATCATGAGTAGTTTAATATTACGTAGCCTCGAGTAGTTACGAAGTTTTATTATTATTATTATTATTATTATTATTTTTATTATTATTATGGTAGGGAAATGCTCTCTCTCTCTTTCTACGATTATTACATAAATAATAATAATAATAATTTACAAGGTGTATATCGTGTTTTGTGTTGTAGTGTATTATCACAATTTGTTTTATTTGCTCGGAGGGTTTTTTTTTTTTGATTTGATTTAAATTTTCGTTACGCTCTCAACAACGTGCCACACAGTTTCACGTTGATTTCTCTAAAATCAGTTTTTTCTTTTCTTTTTACTTTTAAACAGTTTTTTCGAGGGTATTTAACCGTGAGGATAATAATAAAAAAACGACGTCATTTTCTTTTTTTTTTTTTTTTTAAAATAAAATGGCGAATTTCGGATTATTAATTTTTATTTTTATTTTAACAATTCATCATGCAATTTCATATAATCCGCCTCAGGTAATTATTTGTTTTATTATTATTATTATTATTATTACTATATAAAAAGTTATAAATTGTAAAATTAATTTTTAAAAAAAAAAAAATATTTAATAAGTATTACGAGATTTTATAATTAATTCACTTGTAATAAATATTATTTCGTTTGTTTGTTTGTTTGTTTGTTTACGTTTCGTTTACGGTTGAATTTGCGAAACTTTAAACGCCTAAACTTTATGAAACTTTCGACCTAAAAAAAAAAAACAAAAAAAACGCGTTGACAAATCGAATTGGCAATTATTATTATTATTATTATTATTATTATTATTTTCTAAGAATTTAATCGTTTTAGGTTTCAGGCTTGCTTGTTTGTTTGTTTGTTTTTAAATTTGCTAATTTTTTAAAAAAAATAAATAAATAATTGTTTTTATCATTGTTTAAATGAATTAAGTTCAAAATTCTCTTATCAATAATAATAATAATAATAATTTTTAATTATTTTATTTATTATTATTGATAACAAGTCGGGTTGATAATTAAGTAAAAGTCGACGGAACCGGAAATAAAATTTTTAAACTGTTTGTATTTTTTTTTTTAGTCGGCAAGATGCAAATCACCAACGGCTGCAACTCAAAAAATAGAAAAAGTCATTTCCGTTTGTCAAGAAGAAATAAAATTGACGATATTAAGAGGTACGTTTATATTATTATTATTATTATTATCACGACAAGGTTTTAAATACCTGTCGGAGTTTATAAACATTCGTTCCAGGTTTCTGCCCTTAAGAATAAATGCTGGAATTTTGTTGGTGTTGTCGAAGAATGTGGGCCGTCCCACATATCCCGATTTCCGGTTTCTTTTTTTAAATTTCCTTTTATTGAATGTGGTGGCATGGGTCCCAGTGCTGCTGCTCCCACGATGACCGGAATCGTTTCTGTCTTTACTTTCCCCACATCCTGGATCCTATTTCTATTTCCAAATTTCTGTACTTTAACCTTTTGTTCGTTTCTTTGGCTGTCTGGTGTCTTTTTCCGCCGGTACGAATCCTTCAATTACCTTACACGACCTTTCAGCATTAAGTAGCAGGATGATATCCGGTTTGTTGCCATGAACAGTTCTGTCAGCGTGGATCGTACAGAACTGGGGACCCACTGTCGTAACCAGAGTTGGAATACGTTTTGCACCATTCCTTTATATATTATTATTATTATTTAAAATTTCGGTTAATAATGACGTAATAATTTAAATTTTGCAGAAGCTTTGGAAATACTCGGAGGCGGCGGTGGTGGGGACACGAAAAAAGAATCAAATAAAAATGGGGACAGGATAAAAAGAAGTAAAAGGAATAGTAGTTTTAGCGAAGACGAACAAAGAATTGCCGGAGTGAGTATCCCTCGGGACGTGAAAATTATTCCGTTACAATCACCGATAAAATAATTAAATAGGAAGAGAGAGAGAGAAAAAAAACGTGGAATTAGAAATAAATTAATTAAATAACGTGGAAATTTTTTTTTTTTTTTTTTTTTACATTCGGAGTTTTATATACGGTTATATAATATTATAACTTCTCGAAATTTTTTTATAAAACTGGAATTTTCCTCTCTCTCTCTCTCTCTCTCCAAAAATTAACCGAACTGGAGAACACTGGAGAGGGGGGGAGAAAGGGGGAATCATTTGATAAATATCGTATACTTATCAAAATAATTAAAATATTCTTATCATTACGTTGTTATAACTGATAACACGACGGTTTGCATTTTTAATATTACGTAATAATAATAATAATATTGTTAATAATAATAATATTAATATTTTTGTTACAGTGTTTGTTACAATGCGTTTATAAAAAAGTTAATGCTGTAAGTAATAATAAATATAAATTATTATTATTATTATTATCGTGGAGGAAATAAATAAATTTTAATATTTACAGGTTGATTCCGGTGGGTATCCAACAGTCGAAGGTTTGGTAAATTTATATACGGAAGGTATTAACGAAAGAGGATATTTTCTAGCAACGGCACAAGCAGTACAACAATGTTTGTTTGTCGGTTACCAACAGAAAATATTAGAATTTAAAACGAGTATTTAATTTTTAATTTGTTATAAACAAATTATTTTTTTTTTCGAATTTGTTTTATTGAATTTTTCTTTTCGATTTCAGTCCAGGAAAATTCGAGCGGACAAATGTGCGATTTAGCATATAAAGTTTTCGATTGTGTCAGCGATCAATTAGCCGAATATTGTTCCGGGGAATAAAACGTCATCAGGAAACACACGCAAAAAAAAGGTGGAAAGTGTTTATTTTTTCTTCTGACACGACGAGGATGAAAAATTTTCTTTGGGAAATAAATGCAACAATATATTCAAACACGGGGTTTCCCAGCCTTAAAAAATTCACATGACAATTAGTTTGTAGTGTTTATTATTATTAATTATTATTATTATTATTATTATTATTATCGAAGTAAACACTTTTCTCATCTGTTTTATATCGAAAAAGAAAATTTTTTTTTAGTTTTTAGTCGAAAAATATTCGATTTGAGTCTTTATTTACTTATACGTAGTTACTATTTTGTTATTATTATTATTATTATCGCAACAATTATTATTATTATTAAAATTATAATTATAAAGTAAGTTAATTAATTAGTTAAATGTTTATAATTTTGACAAAATTTTAATTTTACACCTTCGAGCAACAGGATAAGTAAAAAAAAAAAAAAAACAGGCCGAAGGGAATTATTAAAATTTTATATATATAAGAAAAACTCGTTTATTATTATTATTATTTGAGGTCGAATTAAATAAATAAATTCATGCAGGTGCGGGGGGCACCTTACGGATATTATTATTATTATTAAAAATAATTTACCGGAAGTTATTATTATTATGGAATATATATTGGAAACGTTGATTTTTATTAAATCTAAAAGGTTAAACGAATCGATTATTATGGGTTAAACGTTGCCTTATGTTATACGCATTTCCGATAAACGAAGGTTGATAACAGAGTAGTAATTAAAACAAAATGGCGACGGATATCGTTAACACCCTTAATGTAAATTGCAAAAAAAAAAAAAAAACGAATTTCCAGCAATGACCCATATTATATACACATATAAATCCTTTAGGGTAAATCACGCCGCGTCCCTCGAAAGAGAAGGGAGGAGGGAGGGGAAGGGCACGTTCGAAACGTTCGTTTTTATTACCGTCGAATGGTACATAGGTCGTTTAAATGTTTATTTGATATTAAAAAAAAAATAAAAAATTATTATCATTACGATCGTAATCGTTATCATTCTTATCACTAAAATAATTAATTTAAATATAAACTTTTTAACGCCTAAAAATTTAAATTATGCAATTTGTATTGCTCCGGGAAAGGTAAAAACAATTTGAAAACGCATCGGGACCTACGTACCTGTGACGTCATTTTTTTCGTTTTGTTTTTTTTCTTTCCCGCTTAGATATTTTCGATAGAGTTTTAAATTTCCTTTCTCGAGCTTTTAATTTTTTTTTTATTAGAACGAATTGTCTGTTATTTGATCTCTTATGAGAGAGAGAGAGAGAGAGAGAGAGAGAGATTTGATATGTTAAAAGACTCTCTTTCTCTCTCGACTCGAATTGATAACGGAAATCAAACGACTCGACTCCAAACATTTTAAAAAAAAATTAAAATCCCGAAGAGGAAAAGCGACGTGTCATCAGAAAGTTTAATATGCAATTGGTCACAGGTTGTGTTTGTTGTTGTTGTTGTTTATTCTCCATTAAAAGATTTATAAAAAAAAACAAAATGGCTTCCAGTCACATTTTAAAATTATTTATTTAATTTTTTTTTTTTTTTTTTAAATTTATTACCAATAAAAAATTTTTTTTTTTAAATTTTGATAAAATAAAAACAAAATGATTGATTACGCCGTTTACGACTATGATAATAATAATAATAGTGATAATAATAATAATAATATAAACGTCCTTTGAATTTCGGAGAGAGAGAGAGAGAGAGAGAGAGAGAAAGGACACGAATTAAAAAATTGAAAATTTTTTAACTAACCGGATAAAAAAATTAAAAAAAAAAAAAAAAACGTGGTAGGAGTGTAATTTTATATAAGAGTGTTACGGTAGACGTGGTTATAGATATAAAATATACAAACATCAAGGCTGTGGAAAATAAAATAAAAAATAAAACACTCCGTGAAAGTAGTATAGACACGATAAAATAAATTTATTAATGTTGATAACGATAAAATGTGTTTTATTTTATCAGGTGCGAAAATTTTTTTTTTTTAAATAAAAACAAACTCCTGGAGAAAAAATGAAAATGAATGATATGAATCATTTCCAGTTTGTCCGTGAAAAAACAAACAAATACAATTTACAACCCGGATTTCGTCGTATCCCTTTTTTTATAAACTTTTCTTTTAAAAAAATTTATTAATCAGTTAAAAAAAACCAAACCCAATTTATTCCCACGAAAAAACAAAATGGCGTCGAATCGGGGAAAAAAAAGGAAAGGTAAAAATTTATTAAAAAAAAAAATTCAGGTACGAAAAATAAAATCTTGTTAAAATAAAATAAAAATGGCGGACGATCGCGTGGGCGATTTTCGCCGCCGCCGTCGTCGTAAGTAGTTTAAGGTTTTCGTCACGCTGGAGAAAAAATTAAATATTTTATACCTTTCGAAAAACACGTTTCTTTACTGGAAAAAAAAAGAAATTTTTAAATTCATTTCAACATCATTTTCCAATAAGAAACTCTGATTTCGATTGAGCCACCGCTGGAAAATGATGACGTCATCGATTTTAAAAGAAACTAGGAAAATTTAAAAAAAAAAAAGGGTGCGAAATTTATTTTAAAAAATTTTTTTTCCATTTTCCTCCCTTCAAAAACAGGAAAATTCACGTTTGAGTAATTAAAATGATTAGTGATAATAATGATAATCATAATAATAATGAAAACGAATCCGCCATTTTTTTTTTATTGAAAAAAAAATGCAAAAAAATTTATTATTGCGCACTTTAAGGTGACACATATTAAAACGTTTTTATTATTATTATTATCATTGTTACCACCGTGGCAAAATTTTTTTTAACCTCATCAAGGTGAACCGGTAAAACCGGAGGTAAAGAAAAAAATTTGCTATCGCCCCCCGCCCCCCGCCGAGATCGCAATCAAATCCGCTGGAGAAAAATTTAAAAAAAAAAAAATATTGTGATTTTTTTTTTTTTTTGGAGAATAATTTTTTCTTTCATCCGATTATATTTTTTTTAGGAAGGTCTACAACTGGAATAAAAATCGATGATAAGACACTGGAGAACTTGACCGATTTTAAATACGCATTTAATTAACCCCCCGGGGGAACGGGAGTTCGAATGGGGTCATTTCAATATGAAATTTTTTTTTTTGGAGAAATATTGTTCGTTCAACCCGAAGCAAGTTATAATTGCTTTCTTTTTTTTTGGACCTGGAACGATCGTAAATATATGTAAATATAAACAAAACAAAAAAAACTCGTTGTTCTCCAGGTTTTATTTATAGAAATTCTCGTTCTCCAGAAAAAAAAAAAAATTTTCCAAACGTTTGTTGTCGCGTCCTTTAATACAAATTTTCTTCTCCAGAAAAGTCTTTTGTAAATTTTTAAAAAAAACCCAAATATGGAAAAAGACGCGTGCTGGAATAAAACGAGTTCTGGAGAAAAACGAGTGCTGGAGAAAAAAAATTCTTTTAATTAAAATCCTTCCGTTAATTTCATAAACTACCGTACCATCGATCGATTTTAATCGTTTCAGACGATAAAATTTTTTTCAAATTGTTATTTAAACTCGCATTGCCAACCAAAAAAAAAAAAAAAAAAACATTTCTCGAGGGTAAAACAAACACACGAGCGGGTAAATATGTCGTGTCACTAGTTCAACCTACAAACAATTTCTTCTTCTTGCACAATAAATAAACCCTACAACTTTTTTTTTCATTTTTGCCAAATTAACCGAAAAAAACCCAACCAACTTATATTATTATTATTATTATCATTATCATTATTATTATTTTTTTTTTAATTGGGTAAAATGGCGACGACGTCGATTTAAAATTTTTTTTTTTTTTTTTTGGCGCGTACGGGGGTAAAACCTAATTTATAATTAATTATGCAAAGACAACAACAACCGGTTGTTGTTGTTGTTTTTCTTAATTCGACAAGGTGCGACAAACAAAATAAAAGTTTTTTTTTTAATTAAATTTAATAATTGATTGACCCAATAAATTTTCCTTTTAAAAAAAAAAACGTCAAACTATAGAAATTTTCCAGAATTTTCCAGATGTTGTTTTGTAATTTAAACACTTTTGAAACGTGTGCACGTGCACGTGCTTTTATCACGACTTACTACAACAACAACAACAAGTTTTCCAATCGATAATCCAAAGGGTTATAAATAAATAAATAAATAATTTATTAAATTAAAACGATGACAATAACAACAAACAACAACAACCGAGATATAAATTTTTATTTAATTTCGAAATTTTTTATGTTCTCGTGCGTGCTCCCGTTCGTACGCAAAAAGGAAAAAAAAACAAGCGAAAAATTATTATTATTATCATCATCTGTTTGTTAAACGTTTGTTACATTGAAAATTTGCACTACTTTTTTTTATGTTCCAAAATGATTTTGGGCCCTTATAAGAACACGAGGAGGCGATGAGGGTTTTTTTGTCGTGTCACGAAAGCCGAAGGGTTCTTTCCATACGTTTCTTCCGTTTTATTATTATTATTATTATTATTATTATTATTATTATTTTGAATAACAAATGACCATAAATTTAAAAAAAAAAAAAAAAAAAAAAACAATGTCGATACGACGAGAAAAATCTAAAAGTATATATAAAGAAAACTCGTCGGCCTCAACCTGCAAAATATATATATATAACGTTGCCTGGAGTCAAAATGGCGGCGTCGTCGAAAGCACGACAAAAAAAAAAATTTTTTTTATTTTTTATTTGCGGAAAAAAAAAAGGATTGGCGTGATGAATGTTTTCAAATAATTTTTGCCACGATGTAAAATGACGTCACGAATATTTGCTGTCGTTTGGAAGATGACGTAAACGCGAAATTCGAACATGCGTATTGGCAAAATGGCGGAAGAATTTTCCATCATGGTTTTCCTATTTACTCCGCCTCGTTTAAAATCCCCATTTTTTCTACGCATCTCCGCCTCTAACCACGTGATTTGAACGTGTAGTTTTTCTTGCTGGAACGTTAAA